TACACTTAATCCCGGACTGGCTGCATCAGAATGGAATAGGGGTTGTGTGTTTTTAGTCTGAATGTTTAACAAGCCGATTAATTTGTAAGAACCTTTTTTGTAAGGGCGCTTATTTAATTTTTATTTACTTAGTTTTTTGAAAGGCAAAACATCTTCCATCTACTAGCCTAAGTGCTGTCAACAGCTAGGGCTCGGCCAAGCCCAAGCCAGGAGCTTGTAAACACTGCCTGCCTCCCATGGGGGTGCCAGCAACCCAATGCTTAAGCCATCATCTGCTACCTTCCAGGCTGCGTATAGGCAGGAAGTGACCAACTGGGACAGAGACCAGTATGGGAGTTAGCAGCCCAAGCAGCATTTTAACAGCTGTGCCAAATGTAAGCTGCAGCTCTCTTATTTTAGAAACAAACCAGCTTACAGATGTACTGGGTCCTACATTTCCTATAGTTTTCACTTTCTCATTCCCTTACTCTTCATTGTGTCTTGATTTCTCATATGCTGTGTAGTGGGTCTTTACACTTTGAATAATTGTATGTCCTGTCAAAAAAATCATTTGCACATATAGTCAATATATTCTACTAATGGCAGTATGATTTATACATTTTAAAACAATGCAAAGAACTAGATTAAATAATGTGGGTGTTTTTTTTCAGAGATGTGCTTCTTTGAAAGGCAGAGTTACGAGGAGAGAGGAAGAGAGAGCCATCTCTCTCTCTCTTTCTGTGTATGTGGGTGTCTCTGTCTTTTATTTTATTTGAAGGGCAGAGAGGATCCCTCACTCTTCCGCTTCATTCCCAAATGCCTGCAGTACTGTATGCTAAGCCAGTCCAAAGGTGGGAGTCGTTAGCTCAGTCCAGGTCTGTCACATGGATGGCTGGGACTCGGCTTCTTGAGCCACCATCTGCTGCTTCTCTGGGTGCACGTTGGTAGGAATGTGGGCTCAGCCGCAGAACAGGGAGTGTGACCAGAGCATCCCATCCACGATCTTCACCACCTCCTCCCGGTCCCTGGACTTTGGCTCACTTGATCATTTCCTGCAGTAAGTGGTTCAGCTGCTGACCCAGTTGCTCATGTCAGCAAACCCGTGGATCATCTGTAACCTATTTTCCCCCGTCTTCTAACCTCCTGGATAGTGAGCACAAAGTGTTGACTCCGCTCCTGAAGTTCTTCCGGTTTGCTTCTTTCTGCTGTGACTGTAGCTGTGCTTGTTCAGAGCATCAGATGGCTCAGACACCTGCAGGAGTCTCCTGTGGGTCTGTATGTCCCGGGCCAGCTTGGTGTGACACCCCCGTGATACCCGGAAAGCATTTTATTCTCTTGCCTGGGTCTCAGGACTTGGTAGTTACTTACCAAGCCAACTCATCTTCAGCTTCCCCTCTCCGCTGTCATCCTCCTGTTAGTCCTTTAGGCATTAAACACCTCAGCTTTCTATTCCTTACCCACCGTTAGCTCTTTGTCCTTTATTTTCCACGACAAATGTTGTATCTTTGGAGCAGTCTAGATTCAGAAGCCCTATTGTGAATTATTGTGAATTTATTTTACAACTCTTTAAAAATATATTTACTTATTTCTTTTCAAGACTTGTTTATTTTACTTGAAAGTCAAAATTACAGAAAGAGAGGATGAGACAAAGATATCTTCCTTCCATTGCTTCACTCTGGAAATGGCTGCTGCAGCCAGAGCTGACCTGGAGCCAGGAGCTTCTTCCAGGTCTCCCACATGGCTACGGCAAACTAAGGCTTTGGGCCATCCTACACTGCTTTCCCAAGCCATTAGCAGGGAGATGGGTTGAAAGTGGAGCTGCCAGTAAGTGAAACGGTCCCCATAGAGGATGCTGACACTGCAGGTGGAAGATTAACTTGCTGTGCCAGTACACTGGCCACAAGAGTATAATGGAGAGAGAATATACACAAAAAGCTACCTGCCGTCTGCTGAATCACTCACCAAGTGGCCGCAACGGCCAGAGTTGACACTATAGTCTGAAGCCTGGAGCCAGGAACTTCTGCAGGGTCTCCCAGCGGGTGCAGGGCCCCAAGGACTTGGACCATTCTCCAGTGTTCTTCTCAGGCCATCAGTAGATAGCTGGATCAGAAGTGGAGCAGCCAGAATACGAACCTGTGCCTACATGGGATACTGGCACCACAGGCAGAGGCTTAGCTTGCTGTTCCACCACACCGACCTCTATATTTACTTTATAACTTTTATAATACTTATAAACAAATTGTTTAGCTTACCATTATATCCCCAATACCGAAATAAAAGATTGTTAAATATCTGAGTAAATGAAGAAAGTTGTATCGGGATTAGTTTGTATCTCTAGACTATTTATGATGCTACTATCCTTTTCTGCTTCAGTCTCCATTACTTTTCTGAATGACACATTCCCAACAGTGGCTCGGTGAATTATCATAGTGATTCTGTCATCATTTCTTCAGTGCCTTTTCTCCTCAGACCTTGGAGTGGTCCATCTCTGTAGACCGTAGTGGACCGGCCACCAGTGCTCACTACAGTGCCTGACTTTCAAACGTCCAAGTAATGGGCTCGTATTTGTTGTTCAAGTGGGTCGTGGTCATGCTTGGGTCTCACTGCCCCGCACCCAGAGACCTGGCCACGCTGCTCACACAGCCCTGGCTGCCAAGTTTGAGATACAACTTTCTACTTGTAATCATTCATACCAAAACAGCTCGGATTCTGCTAGTTGATTTTTACTTTTTTTTTTTTCCTACTCATCCATTTATTCCAAACCCTGTTGATGGGTTTCTCTGTTTATTTAGGATATATTTTATCTTATTTTATTTTTGCTAACTTCTGTAATAATTCTTTTACATAGCATTAGAAAGGAATATACTTCCAATGTTACTATGTGTCAGAAACATCTTTATTTTGCCCTTCTCCCATATAAGTTGGCTGGATGTGAATTATAGGTTCCAAATTGATTTTCCCTCAGAATTTCAAAAATTTTACCTTTATTATTTCCAGTAAATATCTGACATAAATTTTTTTCTTTGCACATAACTTTCCATTTAAAGATTAGGATTTGTTTTTAACGTTACTGTTACATTCATGTGCCAAGTTTTTATTTTCCGTTTATCCTGGCTCTCAACTCTCCAAAGTTTATTTCGGTTTCTTCTCTGTTGTTTTCTTACACAGTCACTTCCCTTCCATTGCTTCTGTGAACCAGGTTGGAGAACTGTTGGCTTCATCTTTGCTGTCTTTTTGTTCGTTTCACTTCATTCTTGGCTAATACCTTCACTTAATCTTCCAATTGACTAGTAACCCTTCAGCTATGTGTATTCTACTGTTTGGCACCAATATGCCCTCACTTCTTTATATCCGAGATCGGTAGTTGTCTTCCCCTGAATACAGATAGTCACCAGTGTACACAGGTTGGACTTAGAATTTTTCTCACATTATGACGTTATGGTCTTTTCCCAGGCCGTCCCTCTGTGTCTGACCCTCTGTTGGGATGTTGGATGGTGGCATTGAGCCACAGCTCCCTATGAGTCACGTGATGACAAGGATAAACAGCCAGTTCTCTTGCTGTGCTGTTACTGAGCTGTATTAGTAAGTTAGGTGTGGTAAAGGCATTGTTCAGCCTAACAGTGCCACCTGGCAGGCTGTTTGAAACCTCTCTACAGTATGTACTCTCAAATCTCTGAAAATAATTTCTTTTAGTCTTTTCTGTATTTGCTGCTGTTGCTATGAGATTAGTTCTTTCTGATACTGAATTTGATGTACCTCCTCAACAGGAAGTGTGGTTGTGGCCCTGTACCCACTTGAGAGTTCATGCAAGCCCTTCTGTGAATGCTACATTTGCTTAAAGCAGCTGTGGGCAAAGACAGGCATGCTGCATGATTGGCTATGCCAGAAGCCATCGTTCTAGACTTGGTTACTCTTTGTTTCCGGTGGCCTTTGCATGTCTCTTCGCCACACAGAAGCTGAGTTCTTTGTTGATAGGGTGACAGCGGGAAAAACCTTCAGGAATCTGTCCTTCTGCAAAGGTCAGGAGCCCCCCTCCCAGTGAGTGTTCTGAAATCCCTCCTGCTCTGTGGATCCAGTGAGTCCTTTGTGCGTGGCATGATTCTGGAAACTCGCTTACTTTTCATCTGCATCCTCTTGGTAGGACATACTTCTTTGGTTTTTCCTTTATATCTGCCTTTCCTCTTTTAGGGATTTTTCAAAATTCCTGACCCCTTAAAAGCATGCTTCTCTTGCTGATAGTGTTTATTATAGTGATTTGAAGTGTGACAAGCTGTCAGATACATCACTCGGAGCGATGTCATGATCCAAGATTTCAGCGAGCGTTTATCCTTGTTAAATACAGCCTCAAAACAACGCAGCAAAAGCAAGCTTCAACTACAGTGCGAACTATAATGAGAGCAACTTTGTGAATGGCTATGTTTATGAATGTGTCTCTGGATTTAAACTTACGTTAGACTCAAAGAACCAACACTCAGTGTTTCTAAGACAGTGAACAGAAACTTGGCCAAAAGTAGCAACCTCTGAAGACAGTTTTATCAGATGCCTAGGATGTGGCCTTGAAGCTTGTCTAAAGTTGCCTGAAAGATCAGTAAATAGGAATGTAAACAGGTTTCACTTGGGGACTTAAGTGGTGACCCTCAGCATCTGTACCATGACACAGCTTCTGTGGCGGGATAAAGAAAATGACTCAGCAAAAGCGGCTGGCACGTGAAGACAATGAAAAATCACCACTCAGCAGTAACTATCTGGAAGAAGCCAAATTCACGTGAAAAAAACTGACAAGATGTGTCTTAGACTTCGAAATGGATAAAGCTGTCTCCTAAAAATAATGCTGTCGTAATAAATTTGGTCTAGTTATGTCGTAAGAGCTCCTGATGTCATATTTTGTAGATTGTCCTAATTCCATGAACCTGTATGTTCTCATTATTTATGAACTCACAGCACCACAGTGTTTCTTTTATTATTATTATTAAATCTGATTTTTGCAGCATTTGGTGAAAAGCTAACTTTCTTTCTTTCAGGCTGTGGCTGATTCGACTATTCTAAAAATTCTGGAGTCTACGATCCAGCATGTGCTGCTCTATGAAAACCTTGCTCTGCAGGAGAAAGCGTTGGCTTGTATTCCAGTCCAGGAATTAAAAAGGAAATCGCAAGAGAAGTTATCTAGAGCTAGAAAACTGGATCAAGGTAGCAGGGTTACGTGATGATATATGGTTACATATGTGTCATTACTACAGAAGCAAATGCTGACTTAATGTATTTTCTGTCTACATTTTTAAAAAATGCAATAATATGTGACTGCATTATATTTTGTAGACACACCTTTTTGTCAGTTATTTTATTGTAAAACACAAGGTTCCTTCAGTTTATAGAAAATGGAGTGAAAAGCTATTTTGGTGTACACACACACAATAAAAAGCAATTTGATTACAGTTTTTGGAAAAGCATGACAGAGGGAGGGAGACTGGTTTACTTCCCAGCTTCCAACTGAGAATGGCTGAAGAGAAGAGTCTAGAATTCCATCTGGATCTCCCATGTGGGTAGTAAGACCCCAACACCCTTGATGTCCTCTCTACTTTCTTAAGTGCATTGGTAGGAAGGAGTAGAAGAAGCAAAGCAGCCAGGGCTCAACTGTGGGATGCCAGGGTTGCAAGTGGCAACTTATCCTTAACCTTAACATACCACAAAAATGGTATATCCAAGGGTATTAAGAGTCTTCCAGAAATGAGTGAAAAATGCATATTATAAAAAAAAACTAGAGGAATTTCAAAATTCATTTGAAACGAAGCATTCTACTTTAATTTGCTTTCCATAAACTTTTGAATATCCTCATAATACAGAATTTACCATCTTAATTTTTTTAAAGATTTATTTTATTTGAAGGCACATTTTACATGTGATATTTGTCTTTCTGAGTTTGACTTACTGCACATAACATGATGTCCTCTAAGTTACATCCATTTTGCTGCAAATAGCAGAATATTATTTTTGTGGCGGAATCATAGTCCATTATGCATGGATACCTCATTTTCTTACCCATTCAGCCACTGACGGACTTCTAAGTTGATTCTGTGTCTCAGCTTTTGTGAATAATACAGCAATAAACATGGAAGGACAGGTATCTCTTTGATAATCTGATAGCTATTTATTTAATTGGTTTTGGATCCATATATATCCAGAGATGGGATAGCTGATTATGTAATAGATTCACGTTTAGGTTTTGAGGGACCCCTGTGTTGTTCTTTTAGCATTTCTTTTAGAGTCTGTGAGAGTTTTCCTGTCTGTGTGTGTGACCTGTCTCTTGCGTGTTGTTCACTTATTCCATTAGAGCTCCTTATATAGTAGTCATAGTGATTTTAAATTCCTCCAGTCCAGCTCCTCCTGATGTGTCTGGGAAATCAGCAGCAGATGGTCCCCGCACCTAAAATGGGAGACCTGGATGAAACTCCTGGCTCCTAGCTCTGTTCTTTGGCCTGGCCCTACCCTGGCTATCACAGCCATTTGGGGAGTGAATCAGCTCATGGAAGATCTTTCTCTCTCTCTCTCTCTGTAACTGTTACTCTCAAATAAATAATTTTTTTTTTAAAAAGCACAAAATTGTGGAAACCTCCTCCAAGGTTTCCACTTCTTACTCTCAGGCTAGTTCACACATGCTCAGACTGGAGCAGTTTGTCAGCATGACCTGCTAAGTGTCCTTGCTGGTTACGACTCCCGTAAGCACATCTGGGCAGTGGTCCAGCGTATTTGCCTGTTTCCCAGATTGTAGAGTGAGCTTGCTTAGTCATCATTCTTTCCTTCCTTGTCTTCGCATTGCCCTTGTCACTGGGTAAAATCCTCTTCCTCTTTCCTTCTACACAAGAAAAGCTCCACTCTCCCCTCCAGTCAACTCTGTTCCTCTGCCTTATCCGATAGCTATTATATGATATTTTACTTTTCGGGTATTTTTCCTTTTATTTACACTCATAGTTATTTTTTTTAATGGTGTAAGTTGTATGGGGTTCACATGAAATTTATCATCCCGCACATGTTCAGGTTCTTGGTGTGCTCCTTTGGAGGGTATCCCAGATGGTTTTCAGCCTCTCTTCACGTTCTGTAGTATACATACTGTGTTATCTATGCAGTTCCCTACTGATGGAATTATTCATCATTTTCTCTCTTCTAAATGTTCTTGCAATGAAGATTCTCATAAGCATGTCCCCTGTTAACACCTGCTCAAATGTTTCTCTGATTGATTAATGGGCGTGTGGTGACGCAGGTCATTGCATTCTAGCCCCATTCACAATATACACACAGTATTTCTTGCATCTTATTTATGAAAGTCTTTCATATCTTCTGAATGTTAGATAAGTGTGAAAGGATACTCTGTTGCTACTACTCATCCACTCCTTAATGTAAATTTGCACCATTTCTCAATTATGTTGTTATCTGAGTTCTAAATTTAAGAATAAAATATGGACTTTTTTTTAAAGATATTACTTGGTTTTCTTTTTAAATTTCTCAGGTACTAATGCAAGTGAGGAGGACTTTCTTTTGCTGGAGCTTTTGCACTGGTTTAAAGAGGAGTTTTTTCACTGGGTGAATAATGTTTCATGCTCTAAATGTGGTGGAGAGACGAGACCTAGAGGTTCAACATTAGTGCCTAACGAGGACGAGTTGAGGTGGGATGCAACAAGAGTAGAAGATCATTACTGTGACGCATGCCAGTTCAGCAATCGATTCCCAAGGTGGGTATCTGGAAAATCAGTTCAGAGTTCATTGGTAATAAACAGAAGTAAAGTCTCATTAGATGGATTTATCTTTATTTCACTTGTTAGAAATACATTCCTTTACAACATAGGTCAGCAATTTATGACTGCTAGAGTAAATCCAGCCTACCCCCTGTATTTTTTTAAGGTTTATTTATTTTTTTTTTTTTTTGAAAGGCAGCATTCTAGAGAGAAAGAGAGAGAGAATGTACTTCTAATCATTGGTTCGCTCCCCAAATGGCTGTAGTGGAGCCAGGTCAAAGCCAGGAGTCGGAACTCCATCTAGATCACCCATAAGGGTGGCAGGTGCCCAAGTATTTGGGCTGTTTTTTCTGACACATTCGCGATGAGCAGGGTTGGCAGTGGAGCAGCTGGGCCTTGAGCTGGCACACATATGGATTGTCCGCATTGCGTGTAGCACCTTAACCAGCCCCACCACAGCACCACATGTGCTATTTTCATAAATAAAGTTTTGCTAAGACACAGTAGTGTTGATCCGTGTACGAATGGTTTGTGAATGTATTCAGACTACAGCAATGGAGTTGAATCACGACAGAGTCTAAAATATTCACCTCTGCTTTATAAGGTGCTTATTTATCCTTAGTCTATAATGTAAATTGAATGTAACGATAGCATTTTAAATTCTGTGAACTTGTTCTTTTACCATATGATCTACTTTCTGATAACTATGTATTATCAAAGATTTGGATTTATTTATTTAAAAGGCAAAGTGACATGCAAACAGAGAGAGAGAAGGGATAATCTCTCATCTGGCGGTTCCTCTCCCAGATGATTACAACAGCCAGTTCTGGGTCAAGCAGGAGGCAGGAGCATGAAGCTCCAGCTGTGGTTCTGCGTGGGTCGCATGGGCACCTGCCACTGCTTTCCCAGGTACACTAGCAGGTGCTAGATCGACAGCAGAGCAACCAAAACTCAAACTGGCGCTGCAGTGTGGGACCTCTGCAGAGCAAGAAGCAATGACACCTGCACCCCAGCGCCAGACCCACCAAGCTTAATAATATCGATTATACTGTCACAGAAAAATTAGTGACCATTGTAGTAATAAGTAATCTAATGTATTTAATCATCAGATAGTCATAGGAGGTAAAAGTATGGTATAGGATGGGACCGACTCCATGATGTAGTAGATTGTGCCTCTTCCTGCAGCACGACCATCCCCTAGAAGCATCAGTTTGAGTCCCAGCTGCTCCGCTCCCAATCCAACCCCCCGTGCACCCAAATGGGAGACCGAACAGAAGCTCTTGGCTCTGGACCAGCTCCCGCCGCTACAGCCATTCAGGAGAGTGAGCCAGACAATGGAACATCTCTCTCTTTCTCTCACTCTCTCTTTTCCTTTCAAATAAAAAAAAGTAAATCTTTTAAAATATATACAGTGTAATATGGTCATGTTGTTTTCTTATAAAGGCAGGTGATGTTTGTTTTAATTCTGTCACCAGCCCAATCTAGCCTTCCCTGAGTTTCTAAATTTAAAACTAATGAACTTTGAGTTTTTTCGTTCTTTTTTTCTTTTTTTTTATCTTCTGGTTGAAAAGCCCAATGTCAGATTTTTTTATTTGACAGTACTTTTAGTGTACTTTCCAGCAAGGAGAGGTACCACATTTTTTTTTAAATACGTAATTTTGGAGCTTTTGGACTTGTGTTCCTTATTTGGAAACAGCCCTCTGATCTATAGAATGTAAGATAAGCAGAATCAAATACACAGTCATTATCTAAAGTTAGTTCCTCCAGTGTACGTTTGCACAGGCCCTTGCAGAGAGTGAAAGATAAATGCATAGGCGGTGGGGGACTGAGTGTGCGCACCTGTCCTGATTCTAGGCAGCTCAGTGTAAACTAATAATGCAGTATGTAGTGGCACTGGTTAACAGGAAGCTTTATGTTAAATGTTACTCATTATTACTTTCCTTACCATTTGCTTGTTTTACTGTCAGCTCTTCTCTGTTTAGGATTTGATTATGAATCTATTTAGAGTCTATTAGGCCATTTGATTTGGTACCAGTAGAGGATATAACACACGTATAGTATACAGGATGTTGTTTTAGTATTTTTTTTTTCCTGTGTTGCAGAGAAGTTTTATTTGCAAAGCAAAAGTGACCAGGTGGCAGGGAAAGCACCTCCCAGAAGGTGGGGTGCCTCCTGAAAGGAGAGAGAGAGAAAGAGAGAGAAACCCTACAGGGTGTTTTAATTCTACTATTACTGTTTAAATAAATTTTGATATTTTTTTCAATTATTGTGTTGCCTGAGTTCTAAATTTGTTGAACTCAGCTTAAACACGCACATCTGCTTAACCTGTTGATTGCGGGGCCCGTTCATTCCTGCCCAGTTTGCCATGTTTCCTTTACCCCCCGAGCTCATGGCTGCCACCCCCGTGTGCTGGGCGCTTTCGCTCCCTAGCTGCATCAGCTCAGGATACTTCCCAACACCACGCGCAAAAACGGATGCTCTCCAGTTTGTAATTGGAGTAGCTGAGAAGAATGCTGCAAGTTTTAAAATCAACTTCCAAATTACCAAACATCACATTTAAATACTTCAGAAGAATAAATTTTTAGTCAAAACAATCATCAGAACTAAAAATCACATCTCAAGTAAAATCAAGTTTAATTGAGCTAAAATCGTTAAGAGTTGAAGTTTTTTTTCTAAGTACAGTGAGCTAACTAGCACTCATTAGGGCGATGCTTGGCAGGTGTCCCGAAGAATCTGCCTGTTCAAATCCTACCTGTCTTTCAAAGCCCAACAAATGCATTTTCTCGTCCCGGTCACTCCACCACAGTGAAATCTAACTTTTTGTGTGTATGGTTTGCCTCATATTACAGTCACTTGTATCGATTCCTTCCCTCCTAGAAATGTGAATACTTGGAAGGCTTGTCTTTTTGGATCATTTTAACCAAAGAGCCCAACACACATCTTTTATGTATTATTCTAGAACCTTCAGCTAGTATTCATAAAGAAACCTGGTAGTGATTATTATCTCTTGAAGTCTGGATTTTGATCATTAAAGTTACCTCTTTCTTTTAAAACAGGTATAACAACCCCGAGAAGCTTTTGGAAACCAGATGTGGGCGATGTGGCGAGTGGGCCAATTGTTTTACGCTGTGCTGCCGAGCTTTGGGGTTTGAAGCTCGCTATGTTTGGGATTATACAGGTACAGAACCTGTTACAAGCAGTTTGGGGCCGTGTAGACTGACAAGTTTGCTTTTCCCGTATGAGCCCATCATTTTGTTTGCTACTTTTCCACATTGTCCCCATCTGAGCTGCCATATTCCCTTAGTTAAATAACTACGACTTCATAGATTGTGTTGTTATCATATTCCTTCTTCAAAAGAAAGAAATCAAAGTTTTATGATACAAGGGTATTTCAAAAAGTCCATGAAAAATTGAACTACTTATCTTGATGGCAAAAATGTGGAAATCCAGTTAAGTTTTCACAATACTCATTTTCCAACTCTTTGAAACCTCTTATGTACCTAGCCCTGTACCTAATACTTTGAACCATAAATGTTTTATTAATACTTTACCTTTGTATTTATAGTAATGCTGTTTCTGTGTCACTAGGAACATGTACAATAATGTGCTGTATGGATCTTTTTATTAGAAATTTCTGCAAAAGATTTAGTAATCATTGTTGCGCAATTCAAAAATGATGTGATAGCCAAAAGACATTTGTATTTTTTTATTTTAAAACGGTTTCTGTTGTCTGCCTGCTAACAAGTCATTTTCTTTGAGTTTTTATCTGTGTTTCTGGTTTTTGAAATGAAGTGAGATCTTTGGTTAATAGTTATTGTTCTCTTAAAATCAAATATACAACACCCACAGCCAGAGCTCCAGTGACGCCTACTGCACGTGGGTCCAAAGAAAGAGCACAGTTGAAGTTTCAAAAGTGACACGAACTCCCTAGTGTTGCCAAACTGAGCCTGGTTGTTTTGATGCTGTTAAAAAAAAAAAAAAAAGCACTCTCATAATTAAGCCTAAAACCGTGTGCATTAAAGATTACTCCAAAAACATTTTGAACCATTTGAAAATGACAAGGAATTTAATAAGACTACCCTAGTCTGTGTGCCACAGAATGCTCACTCTACTAATGATAGCATGCAATTTTACTTTACTGTATGATCCTGATATTAGCGGTTGTTGCAGTTATTGAAAGTCCTTCTGGTTTTGTAACTATAACTCTTCCTTGCTCTTCCCATCTCTCTCCCCTCTCACTGGAGCAGACCATGTGTGGACTGAAGTCTACTCCTGTTCGCAGCAGCGCTGGTTGCACTGCGATGCGTGTGAGGATGTGTGCGACAAACCACTGCTCTATGAAATAGGCTGGGGCAAGAAGCTTTCTTACGTGCTGGCATTTTCTAAAGATGAGGTAGGCGTAAGAGGGAAAAATATTCTTTCAAGGAGAAGTGTAATAGTTTTAATAGTTTTGTGAAGTTTTGTTGAAGTCACCTGCAAAGTGCACATACTTTTAAGTGTATAATTTGCTCAATTTTGTCATTTGTATTCAACAGTGGAATTGCCACTGCAGCCAGGATTCTATTGTGTCATGGATAGTTTGTTAATTCACCTGCTTATTAATGGACATTTGAGTGGTTTCTGGTTCTTTGCTAAGTGCTGTGAACGTTGAGGGACACAAAACATTGTGTGGGCATATATTACGTTTCTCTGCAGATTATCTGGGAATACAATGTATTGTATTTAAGTGGATACATTTTATTTGTAGCATAATTGACAAAACCACTATCTGTGATGCTAGCATCCTATAGGGGTGCTGGTTCAAATCCCAGCTGTTCCAGTTCCAAGCCAGCTCTCTGCTAATGACCTGGGAAAAACTGCAGAAGTTGGTGCAAGTACTTGGGAGACCCAGAAGAAACTGATTCTGGCCCCTACCTAACCGTTCACTCTTGAGGAGCGAACTGATATACAGAACAGTTTTCTCTGTTATCCTTTCAAGTAAATGAATAGTTTCAGAGAGGGTGAAACAGAGATCTCCATCCACCTGTTGGTCCACTTCCCACATACTATCATAGCTGGAGCTGGGCCAGGCTTAAGTCAGGAGCCAGGAATTCCATCTAGGTCTCCTACATGGGTGGCTGTATCCCAGGTGCGTGGACCAACTTCTGCTGCTTTCCTAGGTACGTTAGCTACACTGAAAGTGGAGCAACCAGGACTCAGACCTTTGTTCTGAAATGGGATGCCAGTATTGCAGGCCACTTTACCAACTGCACTAACAACCAGCCCCTAGATAACTTTAAGAAACCACTTAAACTGCCTTTCAGAATTGTTTATCAGAAAGGCAGAGCACCTATCCTTTAGTTCACTTCCCAATGTTCACAGCAACCAGGCTGTTCTCTGCCTGTTAGCAAGTCAGTTTCTTTGTTTTTAGAGTTTTATCTGTGTTTCTGGTTTTTGAAATGAAATGAGATCTTTGGTTAATAGTTATTGTTCTCTTAAAATCAAATATACAACACCCACAGCCAGAGCTCCAGGAGCTCATTCCATGCCTGCAGGTAGGGTGCAGAGACTCCAGGTGCTTGGAGGCAGCGCGCAATGCAGGCACTCCAACAGGAGCTGGAGGCATCCCAAGCAGTGTCCCCATCACTACCGAACCCTTGCCTCCATCCCAGAGTTCTGTAAATCACTTAAGAGAATTCTACTTTGCAAGAATATTTTCCCCGACTAACGCTTGTCTTTTCAAGCTCTTATTGAATGATTTTTATTGATTTGTTGTGATATAGATTATACTTTCTGATGTTGTGTATAAGAGATTTTTTGTGTAGCCCATGGCCACAGTGATTTTTTTCCCTTAGTTTTCTTTTATAAGTTTTATATACTTAGTTCTATGCTCCATTTTGAGTTTTTTTTTTTTATGTGACACAAGGTTTGGATAGATTTTTAGGTGATGAATTTTTCTAGCACATTTGTTGAAAAGATTGCTTCTTCATTAAATTATCTCTACGTTTTGGTCAAAAAATAAGTTATCTTGTAATACAAATTTAATGCAGTAAAAAATCAGTAAAGTTGTTTATCACTTGGTTTTTTCATGGAATCACCTTTGTAGATTGTCTTGTGTTGGAGTGCCTGAATTCAGTACCCAGCTCCACCTTCCCACTGCGCCGTCCGCTAATGTGAAACCTGGGAGAGAAACAAGGTGACTCAAGTCGCTTGGTCACTTCCACCCCTGGAAGGGACCTGGATGGAGGGCCCAACTCCCAGCTTTAGCCATCTCAGGCATTTGGGAAATGAACCTCTGGATTGGAGCCCTCCACCTCTTTGCCTTTCTGTCTGTCAAATAAATAAGAAAATAAGTAAACAAGTATCTTCTCTTTAATGTCCTTCACAAGCTTTAAAATATCAAAGCTTGGTGCTTTTTAAGTTTAAAAGTACATGTGTTTAAAAAAAAAGTACATACATTCCTTGTATTTAACAGATAATGATCAACGGTTACAATTTTATTCAGTATTTATGTTATTAATTTATTTCAGGTAGTGGATGTGACTTGGCGCTATTCTTGTAAACATGCAGAGGTAATTTCCAGAAGAACTAAGATTAAAGAAGACATCCTTCGAGAAACTATTAATGGGCTTAATAAGCAGGTATATGAGCGATATTTGTCATTTGTGATAGAACGTCTGACATTTTTATGTATTTAATAATATGAGGTTTTTAATCCATTGGCCATCTTCAAAATTGTGGCGTTATTTTACAAGTGAGAATATTTTAACATGTTGGGTAGGTATACTTTTTGTCTATTGAAAATTTTGAGGATACATTTTAAATACCAATTTCTGAGTTAAATTATGTCTCTTCTCAAATTGCAGTGAAACAACAGTTGAATATCCATTATTTGACATGCAAAGTTAGTTGTCTTGTTTATCAGAATAACTGGGCTTTGAATATGCTGATATTTATGAACATGTGTATGGGCATTTCTAGATCAAGCTACGAGAAATTATTAACAAGGACAACTTCTGAGAAGAGGAATTGGGTGTCCAAGACAGAAAGTTTGTGTGGATTTTTTTCATAATTAAAAACTAATTTTCCTTTTGGCAGGCAATTAGCATAGGGCAGACCACCTTACTCCAATCAGTGAAATAGGTTCAAGGTGAGGTTTCAGTCTGTCCCGAATTGGCTCTTCTGAAGTGAACTCTTCTGAAAGGAGATCCCATCCAGAAAATCTGGACTGTCTGCTGGAGCCTCTCACCTGCGAAGATTCTGAAACCCAGTGTGTTTTCTGAAGGCAGTGTGTGCTTCTGCCTAAAATTACCGTTTGCCCTTTTACACATTAGCCACCGCTCTGTGCTTGGCTCCCTACACCCCTCTCCCTTGCCTGTTGACAGCTGGTACGTGCCACAAAGGGAAGAGGGCACAGTGTGCAGGTGTTCCTTCAGCTCGCTTCATTGCTGCCTTGGGATCTAGACACTTCAGATTCTGGCAGCTTTGTGTCCCCATTGAAGAGAGAGAGAGTGTGTGTGTGTGTGTGTGTGTGTGTCCTTAGTTTTTCTTGGTGGGGCATTTGATGTGACATAAGCTAGTGCAGTGTGGCAGAAAAAGAACTTACTTTATCCATTTAAAATCTAAGATTGTTGGGGTCATGGAGAGTTGGAAATAGGTGTTAAGTGATTTCTCGGCATAAAAATTGTAAAATGATTTTAAGTTTCCAAATAATACATGTATAAAAGAGCGGTTACTTCTTTGAAGACCTCTTAAAATGTGAATATTTACATATATTATTGCTTACAAATGAACCCCTCAGATCCTCTAATTATAATTTTTTTTTAAAACGTGGTTTACAGAGGCAACTATCTTTATCAGAAAACAGAAGAAAAGAACTTCTCCATAGAATAATTGTAGAACTTGTGGAATTTATATCTCCCAAGACCCCTAAACCTGGAGAACTCGGCGGAAGAGTGTCTGGGTCAGTCGCTTGGAGGGTAGCCCGAGGTGAAATGGGTCTAGAGGTATTTCATTTATTCTGGCATTATAACCTTTTCACTGTCTTGCATTGTATACTATGCTTTGCTTCCAAAAAAAGAGCATTAACCATAACCTTAAGCTAATTTTAACATTTGAAGGCAGCAAATAATTGATGTAATTCCATGTAACAGTTAACAGAATACTTTAAAATGAAATTTAAAATTTTTTAATCTGAATTGTTAATGCAGTGTCGTTAAAAATACTGATACAGATTCTACGTGTACAGCATGGATTTTTCAAATTTATCAACCTGTAAGTACTAACTAGAATTAGAAGTAGTTCTTGATGAGAAATGAGCATGAGTTCCTCGCTAGTCACTGCCTCGCACCCCTAAATCTAACTAAAACCTGGCTTCTAACGTTTTGCAAACACACTACTTCTGTCTGTTTACTGTGTCAGCACTCAAACCAGTACCCATGTGGGATGCTAGCATTGCAGGTGGTAGCTTAACTCGCTACACCACAACACCAACCCCTGGAAATGTGACTTCTGTAGCTGTAAGGGACCTGGGGACAAGCAGTGTGATAGCGTCTGTGATGGACATGAGCACGGTGTAATAGCCTTTCCTTTGCCTTTAGGGATCTTAGGCTTAAATCACTGCAAAGTGCTTAGTAGACATATTTAGGAAGACATTAATGAAAAATTACTGAAAGTAATTCCATTCACTTTTGATATCGGATAATTCTAACTACCATTGCTAGATTTTCCCATTGTTACAATTTATTTTTCCAATAAAAGAAATGTGTCCAAAGCTAGTGATTTATCAATAAACTTTATGTATGCTTTTTAATTTATCCCATCATTTGTAGCTGGAAGTTAGAAGTGTTGGTTGAGCCATAGAACTACAAGATCTAAATTCAACAAATACTTGAAATCATTGCTTATGCAGTGCAAATTACAAGCATAAATCTAAATGAAGCCAATTAAAAAGAGCTAATTTAATTCACAGCTGTTGTCAGTTGAAAGCATGGATATTTAGGTTTTAATTTCTTTTTATGTGTGGATGTGCTTCCTCTATTAAGGCATGTAAGTTCTTTAAACTTTAAAAATGCGAATTTGGGGAGGTGAAGTTGGGCACTGTGACACACAATTAAATATGCCACATGTGAAGCTAGGATCCCATATGGGCACTGGCTTGAGTCCCAGCTGCTCCACTTCCTATCCAGAACCCTGCTAACACCCCTGGGAAGGAAGGTAGCCCAAGTGCTTGGGTTCCTGTACCCCCGCATGGGAGCCATAATGAAGCTCCTAGCTCCTGACTTTGGACCAGTCCAGCTCCAGCCATCGCAGTCATGGGGAGAGTGAAAAAAAAATCTGTTACTAAACAACATCCACAAGTGGAGGGACAGGCTGGTGCCTCGGTCAGTCTGCTCCCTGGGACACCACTTCGTCTGGGCTTGCGTCGTGGCTCCACTTCAGATCCAGTTTCCTGCATGGCTGAAATGCTGGTCTCTGCTACCCACACGGGCCACCCGGATGACCTTCTGCTGGATTCTTGGCTTCAGTCTCGCCCAGCCACAGCTGTTGTAGGCATCTGTGGAATGACCAATAAAAGGGAGATCTCCATCTTTCTGCCTTTTTTTTTTTGGAAGATTTTGTTTTTTATATAAAAGGCAGATATACATGGAGAGGAGAGAGAGGAAGAGAAAGTCTTCCATTTATTAGTTCACTCCCTAAATGACCACAGCAGCTGGAGGCTGGGCATATCTGAGGCCAGGATCCGGAAGCCTCTTCTGAGTCTTCCAGGTAGGTGCGGAGGTCCAAGGACTTGAGCCACCCTCTACTACTTTCCCTAGCCATTAACGGTGCTGAATAGGAAGTGGAAGAACTGGGACTCAAACCCGTACCCACGTGGATGTCAGCACTGTAGGCAGAGGCTTAATGCACAACAGCACAACACTGGGCCCAAATAACAGCACTGCACTGCATTGAGTGGGAACCAGACCCAGGCCTCCTGCGTAGCAGGCAAGAATCCTCCCCATGAATCACTAGCGCACCCCTGCAACTCAAAGATAGTCGACAATTTTAAATTAACAGAACAATGTTAATTCTAAAATATTTCAGGAATAAATCTTGGCAATCAGCTGAAAAAGTCAGAAAATATTGGTTATGTTATTCCCAAAAAGAAAATGTTTGACTTAATTGTTGATGTAAAACATTTTTATGAAATGCTAATTCGTCTCTGCTCGGGATTCCTGTGTTCACTTGCACACGTGACGTTCAGTTCATACACTCTCCCTCTTCCTTTTGGTGCTCAGTCTTCCTTGATGAAATAGGTAATGCTTTTAAGTTTTATTTCCATTTGATTTTCTGTCAGTGCTTGAAAGATCTTAATGAAAAACAGAAGAATAAGAATTGGGGATTGTTACATGCTTGTGTCTTAATTCATAATTTTAAAAGAAATTTCTAAAAATAATGACTTTTTTCATCTTTCTGGCAGCAATAGTCAATTCTACTAGCAAAGTCTCATGTTTCTACATTGACTGTTACCTTTTTAAATTCCGCACAAGGATATGTATAAACCCTCACACACGCACACACGCACACAGGTTCCTGTCTCAGGTGTTTCACACTCTGCTCATTCATTGTTATACATTTGAAGTTTAAAAAAGCATTGTCTGCTTCCTGGTCAACTAGTAAATACTGTGGTGAGACATCAACATGAACTTTGGCAGTGGATAATTTTGCCTTCCAGGGAATGTCTGTCAGTGTCTGCAGATGGGAGGAGGAAGTGCTGATGGCACCCAGCCTGGCTAGCCGCCTGCCCTCCATGGCACACACCTGCTCCCAAGGAATGTTCCCACCGTGTCCAAGAGGGAGCAGTCTTGTGTTAGTGGCACTTGAAGACAAAAATAAACCTATCTTCTTTCACATTTTAGATTTACTGTGTGGTTTCAGAAAGTCAGATTACTTTATCATTAAAAACAAATGTGGATTTACAATTTTTTTTTCTTAGTTTCACACATGCTTGAAAACTTTCAAGTTATACCCCTTAGACAACCTCCTCCGTCAGGGTATCAGCAAAGGGCAATCTCTGTGATGACTGTAGGCTCAAGTCTGAAGGATGACGGATACAGGACCTTGCTAGAGCGAGATGTCAGTAGAGTGAGGTAAATAAAAAGTGGCATATCCCAGTTTGCATTCAAACAAAATTGAAGAAGTCACTTGTGTGTTAGCTACTCTGAGGAGCAGGAGCAAGGGAGATGTCAAAGCTGAGTATCACCTTGGGGAAAGGTTGGCCAAACAAGAGGTCATGGTAAGGGAGATGAGGCGCAATGAATGAATTCAGGACAAAGACAGAATTACAACAGTGTGAGTCGGAAGTCAAGCATCCAACTTTTGTTCTAATCACATCACATTTAATCCATAAAATATTTTTTTCTAAGCTCCCCAGTATCACCAGCTCGTGGTTTTCAATTGGGTGGAGGAGTCTTTTTATGATTGTATGTCATTATTTCTATTTTTTAGCATCTTCAATAATGTTGAAAAATTAATTCTTCCTTCTTTTTAAGAGAAAAGAAACCCTGTTCATCCCCTCTGAAAATGAGAAGATTTCTAAACAGCTCCATCTTTGCTATAATATTGTGAAAAATAGCTATGTCCGAGTTTCCAATAACAATGAGATTATTCCTGGATGGGAGAATGGTGTGTGGAAAACGGAATCCATATTCAGAAAAGTGGAGACAGACTGGCACATGGTAAGTTAGTGCATGAAATGGTTTAAAGCCCTTGTCGCTGGTTAGCACACATTGGCTTCGTTTCTCAGCTGTGCGTGATGTGAAAACCGACGTATCAAGGTTATCCATAGCCCTTTATCCTGGAAAAGGAAATCATGTGCCCAGGAAGCAATCAAAGCCCCACTGGAAATTCTTGCATTTATGTCAAGAACTGTTCTCATCAAAGCAGCTGAATTTCATTCCTTCATGGGAAAAAATCATCAGGTGTATGACCAACCCTTATGGATTTTTTATTTTTTGCTTAAATATGTAAAGTATGTTGCTGTTGAATTCCTTCACAGACATGTATTGCTTGCCTACTTAAAGTTGCCTCTTGCGGAGAACAATGGACTTAGTCCAAAATGCCCAACAACTAACCCTATAGCAGGCTTTGGTTTCATATTGTGAGTTATTAAGCAGCAGCACTGGTTACTTATTTGCTGTATCCTAAAATAAATAAATATAAAAAATAGAAGATAAATGCCATAGTCATTCCCTTAAATGGAGTCACACACTCTTCTATCACTCTGCCAATAGCAAGTACAAAGGGCTTTGAGCTGCCTTGCTCCTTGGAAGTATAACTGTAGTGAACTCGAGTCACTCACATGGTCTCACCAGAGCTCATTATATTATTGATGGGTTTTCATAGGAGTTAATTCACTGATAGGGAGCTGGTATATATAATTAACTTACCAAGATATTTGAGTGGGGCAAATTGTTCACGTTTAAGATACACTGGATAAAGGAAAAAGATACATTGAATGGGTTAAAATGATGTATCTGAGAATCTGATATAGGCTGTCACTGTTCTAAGATATTGTGATGTGCAAAAGATATACAAAGTCACTGTGGTTTTTTTTAATTGAAGTGTTTGTTTCAAAGCTTACCTTGATGCTTAAGCACATAAATATACAATTTTTTTTAATTACATAATCTAATAAGTAAAGTGGAAATCTCTTTATATTAAAGAGTATAATATGTAAAATTGTCAAAATTGTAAATTTGGGGATTTTCTTCTCTAGCTAGAGAAGTATATTTAAATAATAGAACAGGGTGAAATGTGAAATATTTGTATAGAGCTGATGAGAGAAAATGAGTATCTTTTTGGAGGACCACACTTACCCTAATAGTTTCTCCATGCAGAAAACAGAAGTTGTGTTTGTCTGAGGACTAGTCTATCCTTGCTGAGCCAAAGTGATGCGTTTCTTTCTAACCAGCAGCATTATTAGAGAAAATAAGACGTTGCGGAAGATGTGCTGTGCTGCGAAACACGGCTCCTCTGTGGCATGTTTGTCCACTCTACTCATTTGTTCATCAGTAGATGCTTATAAAGTGCCTTTTGTGCCAGGCGTTGTTCTCAGCTAGATGAATAAAAAGACAAAGATACGATTCCTGCTCCTAAGATCTCACATGAACCAACATAAGCAGCCACCCTAACCTCAACGCAGAGTGCTATACTAAGAATATCAACACATTGCCATGGAAACATCAAGATGGCAGTAATTGGCTCTGGCTGCGGGAGTTCGGCAAAACTCCACAGAGCTGGTGACATTTGAGATGGACACTAAAGCAGAGTAGGTGCTCATCGGGCAAGGAAGAACAGGAAAAATACACAAAAAAACGTGGCATGTTGCAAGATCTCAAAATAGACCATCGTGGCCAGAGAGGGTGTATTGTGTGAGAAGGATTTAAATAATGTAAATGAGATGTAAAGACCATTAAAATAGAAAATAGACTCCTATTCAAGAAAAGCATAGCTTAGCTCTACTTTAATGAAAGGCATCATTTATGAAAAGTTGAATGAATCCATTGCTAGTTATAAAGCTTAGTGTCAAATGACAAGAAACAAATTAGGTCCTGGATCAGCTAAGCTCTGGCCATTTCAGCCATTTGGGGAGTGAACCAGCAGATGAAATATCTTTCTCTCTGTCTCTCCATCTCTGTAAATCTGCTTTTTCAATAAAATAAGTAAGTAAATATATATATAAAAAAAGAGCTAGCAGCAAGGATCTCTTTGTTGTTGCTGAAGATTGATTTGTTTGCGAGTTCTTGAGGGAGAGGGAGAGACAGATGTTTCTAGCGGTCACTGCCCAGTGGCTGCAGAGGACAGGGATGGGCCAGGCTGGAGCCTGGAACTTCAGCCAGCACTCCCACGTGGAGGATGGGCCCAGACTTGAGCCACTTTCCTCTGCCTTTCCTGGGCTCATTCACAGGGGTCTTCATCAGGAGAGCAACCAGGACTTGAACTGGCACCGTTGAGATGCCAGCAGAACAGCCTGCAGCTTAACTTGCTGGGCCGTTAAGATTTTTGCTGAGCAAAAATCTTTTTTTTTTTTTCCATAGGGAAAAACTAGGTTTTCATAACTGCTTGTATATGGCCATGAGACTTCACCGTTTCTTTTCTGCACTGGTTGTTTCTGATGACTCCTTCCTCCCCATCCTCTGCTCTGTAGGTCTATTTAGCAAGAAGGGAAGGATCATCTTCTGCATATATTTCCTGGAAGTTTGAGTGTGGATCAGTTGGCCTGAAAATAGACAGTATCTCCATCAAAACAAGTAGTGAAACCTTCCATACTGGATCAGTGCAGTGGAAACTGCGGTCTGATGCCACGCAGGTAGACGTGGCAGGCGGTAAGCATTTGCCTGGAAAATCGGTCACCGTGTGTGCATTTCCCACTCCAAGGACTACTTTTGCTAATCTAACTTAGCTCTGATGTTTTCATAACCAAAAGTTACTCATATTCGTTGTAAAAAAAAATTAACAAGAAAAATCTAAAACATTGTAATAGTAAAGCTCATTTTTTACATTGAAATATAAGTGTTAAGGAGAAAAATCATTTCTTAGTTTCAAAGGTATGTTTTCTCTATAAAGAATATTGTATTTTTTAAGGTTGATTGTAACGTACAAGCTAGACCATGTAGACTGTATTCCGAAGCTATCTCTTTAAGCTCCTTAAATTACTGAGTCTTCATTTTTCTCCCAACAGATAAAAATATTCACTCCTATGATGATTTTTCTGATGCCACTGAAGTTATTTTGGAAGCAGAATTAACTGGAGGAGATGGTGAGGTTGCTTGGCAACATACCCAGCTGTTTAGACAAAGCTCAAATGACCATGAAGAAGACTGTTTGGAGATCATTATAAAATTCAATGACCTTTAAGAACCTGAATATTATAAAAGAGCTGGCATAATCAAGAACTTACCATGGTCTACAGTAGTCTGTGGGTTCAGTGCATGCTTAGTTGGCAATTTACTACTCTGCACCAGCATATATTTTTGGTGTGGCCATTTATCATGTGACCCTCATTAAAATATATCTTTATACTGTGGGCCATAACGAAATCTTGAATTAAAAACTCCCCTCCATATGTGACTGTTATTTGAAATAAAGTGCTGTTGCCTTCAGAAGAAGTTTAAAGACTGTAAGTACAATTATAAAAGTAAAATGGCGGTATACATTATTAAGTGCTATTCATGATTATGATAAAATCATGGCCTAATGAGAATAACCTCATGCTTATTGAGCAGCCATTAATTTCTTCATTAATGGTTGGATTATATTTTCCTGAGATTTTAAATTTTTAATAAAAGTGAAAATATCTCTTAAGTTATATGATGCATGAAATTTTTATCACTGTATATATGTAGACATTTAAGAAATAAAATGAATTATTTTCGCTTATAACTTTTTAATGGTTATGCTGACTAAATACAGATCTTTGGTAAGTATGTGCTATCCACGGAAAGACACTTGAATAGACAAGAGTAATGAAAACATAAATTCAGAATTGTAAATTCCATTGATATATGAATATTTGAGTATGATTTAGCTTTGAGTTCTATTTTTAACTACCTCACTGAATAAAATATTCTTCACTTTAACATCATGTATTATGCAGTATTTATATACTGTATCAAGAACTTGTACATGTTCCATATAATCTCTCCAGTTGAGTGTCATGAACGTTGATTAAGCTTGCCTGTGCAGGTCTCGGGCAACAGCAGTACAAAACAAAGCAACACTGAGAGAAAAGCCCCAGGCCTTCGGATTCCGTCATCATGTTCAGTGGAGAGTTCTGGAAAAAGGTTTGCTTGGCATTTCTAATAATCTTCAACACAGTACAATGTTTAAAAGTATTATAGTCAATTTCCTATTTACAAAGGGTAAACAAGTTTCATGTATTTAATTTGTACAAATTAAAGAGTATAACAATAATTCCCTCCCTCCTACCTGTGTTCCTGCCCTCTCTCTTCTTTCCTTTCTTATTTTTTCTGTTAATTTTTTCAATGAGCATTCTTTCAGTATATCACAAACTTAAGCCCCCATCAAAAAAAAAAAAAATCCCTCAAGTTGATATTGTCATGAACGGTGGATGAGGGTGCCTTTTCCTCGCATCCTCACCGGCACTTATTTTTGACCTGAGACATTCTGCCTGGGGTGAAGCAAAACCTCATTGTGGTTTTTCTTTGCGTTCCCTTGGTGGCTACTGACCTGAGCATTTTTCCGTACGTCTGCCATCTTAACTCTATCGTTTGAGAAATGCTTGTCCTCGTCCTGTGCACATCTCCTGACTGACTGCTTTGTTGTTGAGTCTCCGGGGCTCTGTGTACGTTCTGCGTGGTAATGCTTTATCAGTTGCATGGTCTGCAGATATTCTCTCCCGTGCTGTCGGGATTCCCTTCACGTTGTCCTTTGCAGTGCGGCAGCTTTCCAGCCTGACGGCCTCTGCCTCTGTCCTCTTTTTCAAGAAGTCTTTGCCTAAGCCAATGTCTTGCAAATTTGCACTATGTTTTCATCTAGTAATTTGATGGTTGGGTCATCGACTTAGATCCCTGATCCATTGTGAGTTGGTTTTGCTTTCAGATTTAAGGTAGGGGGTCTTGTTTCATACTTCTGCTTGCATAGATTTAATTTTCACAGTACCGCTTGATGAAGTGCTGATCCTGCTAGGGACTGATTTTAGCTCGTTTGTTGAGGATAAACTGATTGTAGCTCTGTGGATTAATTTCTCGACTTTCTGTTCGGTTCCATTGGTCTACCTGTCTATTTTTTGTGGCAACACCAGCCTGTTTTGTTTATAACTATCCTGTGGTGTATCTTGAACTCTGTTGGGATGCCTCTGGCCTTGTCATTTGTCTCTGTCATTTGAAGCTTGCTTTACTGCTTGAAGTCTCGCGTGCTTCCATGTGGATTTTTAAGATCCGAGAAGAATGCGGCTGGTGTTTTGATTGGGATCACACTGAATATATAAATTGCTTTGGGTACTATGGACAGTTTGATGATGTTAAATCTTCCAGTCCACAAACATGGAAGATCCTTGTTTCCTTTTATGTTTTGTAAACTTCATTGAAGAAATATCTCTGATTCATGCTCAAATTTTTTTCAAAAAATTAAAAAAAAAATTTATTTTAACCAATTATTATTATTTTTTTAATGATCCTTACAGGGGTGAGGGGATTGGGGTTTGCAGATCCATGTCAGCATCTGGCAGAGAGGGATGGGGAGAGTCAGGGAGGGAAGAGGGGCAGTGAGAGGGCCTCTCCTTATTGTCAGACTGCATCAGTGTCCAGGACGCACCACCTCAGGGGCCTGGGAGGTGGAGAGGCAGAGAGAAGGATGTCCTAGAGGTGGTACTCAAGTGGTCATTCATTGCATAACGTTAGCCCAGAGGGCCTGGGGCAGGCAGGAAGGGAGCCGCTAGGTGGCGCCAAAGGTCCCCTCCGAGAATAGCCGTCCCAGACTCATTGAAGTGGAGCCGACCAATCAGAAGACAACACATACCTTTCCATCAAGCCCTGTCAGCACCACAGCATAAGAAATACACAACTCGGGGCCTGGCGCCGTGGCCTAGTGGCTAAAGTCCTCCCCTTGAACACACCGGGGTTCCATATGGGCACCAGTTCTAATCACAGCGGCCCCACCTCCTATTCAACTCCCTGCTTGTGGCCTAGGAAGGCAGTTGAGGACAGGCCAAAGCCATGGGACCCTGCACTGTGTAGAACTGGAGGAAGTTCTTGGCTGCTGGCTTTGGATTGGCGCAGCACTGGCCATTGCGGTCACTCAGTGCAGGTGTGACTTCCGTGGCCCAAGGACCTTGCGGACCGAAGAACCTCTCCCGGGAGCAGATTTCAGTAAATCTGGCTTTACTATAATACTGAGGTCAAATTAACGGTCTTGGTAGTCCTGCTGTTTTGGTGCGTTTTTGTATCTAACACGTAAGAGGTGACATATTCCCTCTGTCAGCACAGGCGCTCTTCACTGTCCCTCTGTAGGCCAAAGGTCTGTTAGTTGTCCATCTCGGAGTTTCCAGCAGCCTAGGTGCTTCCCTTAGAACTTGGCCTCGTGTGACCAGGCTTTGCTCCAGGGTGAGAGGACCTGGCCATTTGGGCAGTATGCTGAGTTCCTTCACGGCGTCCCAGCAGTGGGCCATTCCTGCCCGAATGTGGTATCGCTTAGATGGGAAAATGCAGCCTCCTGGAAAACTCGCTGCCCTAGCACCGATCAATCTCCAAGGGTTCCACAAAACCTGTATGCCATCAACTGTGTGACTGGCGATCATGTTGTCATAATGAACACAAGACACATTGCATATTCTAGAAACAAATGGAAGCACAAAGTATACGCCTCACATTACTGGTTACCCGGGTGGATTTAAACAAGTTACAGCTGCCGAACTTCACCAGGAGGATGCAGTGGCAATTGTCAAAGTGGCTGTGTATGGTGTGCTGCCATAACCTTTCACAGAAGAACAATGGTGCCACAACTACATCTTTTCCCAGGTGGAAGTATTCCGGAAGATATTTTAGTGGAAAAACTTCCTCAGCCACGCAAAGTACACAAGACGCCTCAATGAATGTGCGCACAGGAGGCTCTCCCAGGAGTGTGGACTCCACCCGGACATTATCAGCCTCAGTGGAGCGAAAGGTGCAGGAAGTAGCATTGCAGCAACTTCTTTCTAAGAAGTTCCTCTAGCCGTGGGACAGGCAAAGCAATTTCTCCAGCTCTGTGTTAAATGCACATACTGAACACTTAAGGTCAGGGAGGAATACTCCTTGAAGAGGAAATTGCAATAAAATACATAACTTGATAAAAATTATTTTATTACATAATCTTGTTTGAACATTTCAAAGGATTGAAAATTTTTCTTTCTTGGGGAAAAAAAAAAAAAAAGAACTCAGCCCGCAGTCCTGTGCCACCTGCTCTTCTGTTCACCCTTGAAAGAGTGTTAAGATCTACTGTTGTATGAGAGGAACCAGCTGTCCTGCCTTTTCTCTGTATCTGGGTATGTTTCTTGATCCTTTCTCTGGAGTCAGCAATGAGGGTAGCCCAGGTGCATGGCATGTGCTCTGTGGTCAGACCACATGTCCATGGAATGTTCCATGAGAACAGGGACTCAGATGATTCACGGGGTCTGCTCAAGGCCAAGCCACCCTACTTGGTCCACCCCCGTCCCCGGTGCTTGTGCTTCTCAGGCGCTGCAGCCTGGTACAGAAAAACACCTGACCTAACTCGATATGTGTTTGCAGGTTCATTGGTCTGGTTGTGGGGTCCCTCCAGAAACCCCACCAGGTCAACCTCTAGCCCCAGTTCCCGTAAGTGCCAGCAGTAGGGCAATCTAATCCAGCCCAGCCCACCCTCAGCCCCTGCTCTCACATGTACTGGTGGTTACAGATGCCCACTCAGAATGACCCTTTTACCAGGCCACACCATAGACCCAGCTCTCATGTACACCATCAGGTGCAATGGCCCAACCCAGTCTGTCCCAGACCCAGCTCTTGCATACCAGACCTGGCTTGCAGGCCCCGGTGGGTGCTGCAGCTCAACTTGGCTTGCCCTCAGACCCAGTCCTTAAGGGCCCTGGCAGGTGCACCATTCCAGTCTGGGAGATCCTATGAACCCCTACTAGGCCTTACCCATGATCTGGTTCCCAGATGCTCTGGTGGATGCTGCAACCTATACTAGTCCACCCCTTTTCCCTGTCCTGCAGCAATGGACTTAGTTCACGGAGCCCGTAATCATACATGCGTGGACTACCGTGATGGAAGTTTATTAACAACATCAGACTTTTAAAGAGACGTCACACATGCATCAGGGAGGGGGTTTGAGGCATTTATATTTCAACAGCAAGTGGCATTTTCCCCTGATAGTTTGCATGTGTCCAGAAATGTGTTTCTTCTGGATTTCCAGTTGTTGCCATGCACCTATTGGTAGCACTTCATAAAGATACATGATTGATGAGTGCTTTGGGATTCCTTTTCAAACATTTCATCACTGCATACTGATTTTGAAGTCTTATTGAGTTCCTTGTTGGTATTTCTCATTTTTCTACATTTGTTTTTAGGCTTTATGGAGCTCCCCCCGCCCCACCACCCCTTGTTGGTTTTCTATCTTTATGGCGTTTGTCCTGTATCTCTGGCTTAGTGGAATGTCTGCTGCGTCAGTGGATATTCAGAGGCGTGTGCCTGGAGGGGCCTGGGACACTAGGGGCACCAGTGGTGCTGAGGCCGGGGTGACTCCCAGGGTGACTGTGGGAGATCTCTTGGAAACAGCATCTCTGGTGTGATCACTGCCTCACACCTCCTCTCCGCCAAGGTGGTCAGTACGCCCGGGGTGGCCCAGCGGCGATTGCACAGTCCATCCGTAGAAGCAGATGACCCACATGAAGGACCTGTGCCGCTTCAGTGTGCGGACAGACCCCTCTGCAGGGATCCAGCCCACGCACTGTCCTGCAGTCCCAGCCGTCCACAGAGGGCACGCGGGGTGTGATGCACCCAGCGCTGGGAGCCTGCTCCGTCCACCGAGAGCCAAGGTGGTCCCAGAGCCTACTGCCCCAGTCCCAGCTTGGCAGTTTAAGGAGCTCACCCATGATTGTATAGAGAAG